ACAGGCATGCGCCACCATGCCCGGCTAATTTTTTTCTATATATTTTTAGTTGTCCAATTAATTTCTTTCTATTTTTGGTAGAGACAGGGTCTCGCTCTTGCTCAGGCTGGTCTCGAACTCCTGAGCTCAAATGATCCGCCCTCCTCGGCCTCCCAGAAGTGCTAGGATTAAGGCATAAGCCACCGTGCCCAGCCCCACGTTATTTTTAATATATTATTTCACACATACAAAAGATTATTGAAAACATTAATTATAAAGCATAATATAATGAAAAACTATGAAATCACTCCCAAGCCAAGAATTTTAAAATTACCAATAATATGCATCTATTTATATAGCCCTCTTTTATCTCATCCTCCTGCCTGATCTTACCACTGCCAACTTAACCAGTCTCTTTTTTTCCCAACAGCTAATTTTTAATCTACATCTTAAATGACCTCTCTACAGCATATGACACCATTGTTCCCATGAGTCCCCATGCCCCTCCCCAACCAGTACCAACAAATTCCCTTTCTTCTTGGCTCCTGTAACACTCATTGCCCTGGTTTTCTTGCTACCTTTCTGGTTGTTCATTCTCTTTTATCTTTAAAGCTCATTCTCCTCTACTCAGCTAGTAGAAGGTGGAGTTTGTCAAAACACCATCCTAGCCCCTCTCTTCTTCTCACTCTAGACACTCCTTAGCTTCCTCATGCCCTCTTTGTTCAGTTACCATACACAAGGATGACCTCCACACAAGGAACTCTTAACTGTCAACCTGCTGTCTCTGGTCAACACCTACAGGATATCTAAACCCAAACTCCTGACCCTCTTCCTTAAACTGGATCCTCTCTCCCGGCTCATAGCACAGTAAAGGGCACCACTACCCACTGTTATATAAGTCAGAAACCCTGGGGTCACCCTCAACACATTCTTTTCCCAGAATTAGCAACATAGTGGAATCCTAATTAAGTCCTATTGATTTTACCTACTTGATAGCTCTTGATGCAGTCTACTGTATCCATTCCAGCACCACCACAACCCAAGCTCCCTTCCACCTACTCTCTACTGAAATTATTCCAACAGCTTTCTGCAACCAATTAGCTCCTCCCACTCCTGCCTCTTTCCCTAGTTACTGCTTATTCTTCCATCGTAGGTCTCTTATTTCCTCGGGGTAGCCTTCCCTACCAGGTCCATTCCTCTTATTATCCCCTTTTGTACCATGTACCAATGCCTTTATAGCACGTATCACCATTATAATTTTATGCTTATTTGTATAATCCTGATCAATGTCTGTTTCCCTTGCCAGAGCTCCATAAAGCAGGAAATATGTATTTGTATCCCTTATGTACAGCAGTGTCTACCTATAGTTGGCTTAAAAAATATTTGCTGAATGAATGAATGATTGACTGAATGAACTATGTGGCACAGAAACCCCGTGTTTCGGAGAAAAAGGCACTCATAAAATAGCCTTAAAAACTATCTCCTTTCCTTCTTATCTAATTCCATTCTCCATGAGCAACTTCTTGATTTTTAATTTAGTTTCCCAGGTCAATTGAATTATACCGGAGAAGAGGGTCAGAAAAATTTCTGGGTCCCAAGATCCCATATGATAGAGGTAAAGGATGAGAACTCTGTAATCAGACAGTTTTAGATATGAATCCCAGCTCTGGTACTTACTAGCAGAATGACCATGGGCAAGTCACTTCAATGCTGAGCTCAGTTTTCTCATGTATAAAATGGACAATAGACTTGAATCTCTCACACACAGTTAATTACATAATAAAATACAGACCATGACACAATGCCTGGGTTATTTATTACTCCTATTATTTTACTATTGCTATTATTAGTTTAATAATATTATTACTAATAGTTACATTAATAATAATATGAGAGGGATTGAATAGATAGATGGCTTCCAAAGTCCCTCCCAAGCTCTAATAATTAGGATTCCACTATGCTGCTAATCATTAACAAATTTTCTTTTTGAAAAATACCTGAATCTTGTTTGGAAGATTCCCCGCTAAATCTTTCCACATGCACCCCTGATTTGACCTCTGGCCAAGTTCATGGCACAGGATGGGTCTTATGGTTTGGTATATGCCTGTTCTGTAAGTTACCAAATGAAAAAACTTGGAATACCTGGGATCCAGCAGGCCTTGCTCTACACCCCAGGCCATCTCTCTCACGGCATTGCTGATCTCATGACGGGATGTGTATGCAAAGCAGACATTCAGGAAACATCTGAGGTGGAAAGAACAGAATGATTTACCAAAGAGGGACAGGGACTGATGACTGTAGTCACTGAGTACAGAGCAGCCCCTCCCTGGAAGAACACACACACACCAAAGGTTAACTGTGGATACCTCTGAAAGGTAAGATTGAGTTTTTTGTAGTTTCCAAGTTTTCTTGGAATAAACATGTTATTAGTTTTATAATAAGACAAAGACTAAATGGCCTTTATTGCCCTCCTACCCCTCTCCCCTTCTACTGCCAACCAGCTTTCAGAGGATGTGAATCCACTGTGATATTACCACAAGCAAAGGAAAATAGGAAGGAGATCTAATGCAAAACAAATCCAGTGCCAAACACAAGTTCTACTCCAAAACTACACAGAATGAAGCTTGGATTATTGAACTCTATTCCGCTCTGCATCTGTATGAACTCCCAAGGTCATCCTATCCATGGGTTAAAGGGGTAGAACAAAAAATGAATTTTTTTTTTTTCTTTTTTAAATTTTGTAAATCATTATGAAAGGGTGGGGGTTTGTAAGGAGGGGTGCTCAGTTGCCTTGTTTTTGTTGAGACAGAGTCTCAATCACTGCCCTGGGTAGAGTGCAGTGGTGCCATTGTCCTGCAACCTCCGACTCCTAGGCTCTAAGCAATCCTTCTGTCTCAGCCTCCCGGGTAGCTGGGACTATAGGTGCATGCCGCAGCACCCGGCTGGGTTTTTTTTTCTTGTCTTTTTGGTAGAGATGGGGTCTCACTCTTCCTTAGACTAGTCTTGAACTCCTGAGCTTAAGTGACCCTCCCACCTCGGCCTGCCAGAGTTCTAGGATTACAGGCGTGAGCCACCACACCCGGCAGAAAAAGA